TTTCATGCTTAACAAACAGACAAACTTCTTGCATCCATCTCCAGAAACTGGTTCTGAGCTGGCAGAAAGAAGCGTTGGTCACTTTCTATGAAGACTTCATATGTAATGCATAGTAAATGCATCCATAATGCTTACTGATACCATCTAGAATCTTCCATTACATCTTTTCATAAATAATCGTCAACACAAAATGTATTTTATATGACTTTCCTATTAACCGATACAACTGTACACATTATATAACAGTTACAGGCTTCTAATCTGACAGGCCAAGATCTTCAACAAAGACATAATAAATACATAAATACATTTAAAAGAATTTAACCCAGCTTAAACTGGTTCACTTGTCTGTGGGCTGGTTTTTGCGGGTTTTGGTCACTTTTCATCTGGTCAGGGCGGGAGGTTTAAACCAGCTAATCCATTTTAAACCAGCTAAGGTCAAACCACCTTTTTTAAAGGATTTTCTTAGCAGGGGGTGCGACATCCCTGACCAACATCCTTGTAACAGCCTGGCAACCACCCAGAACACCCTAGCAACACCCTGGCAATCACCCAGAACACCTTAGCAACACCCTGGCAACCACCCAGAACACCCTAGCAACACCCTGGCAATCACCCAGAACACCCTAGTAACAATCTTGCACCATAACACCCTAGTAACTCCTTGGTAACCACCCAGAACACTATATCAACCATGCTACAATACAATAAAAAACATTTAAAGCTCCTTTGCAACAACATTGTACACCGACCCACAACACTACACAATATTATGGCCACAGGTTATGCACTGTCAAGAACAACTTGAACAAATCTCACTATTACATCACAGGTAATGGCTAAATACTGTCCAAATGTCATTTGCCATGAACTTCTTGTTAATTGTTGTATAAAAGCAATATCACGGGCAATGACTAAAATAAATCAATCAATCAAGGAGGAATGCTAAATGTTAATATCGGCCAACAGGGAAGTGTGCTAAAGGTTTGGTCTCCTCCAGATCCAGTGTTCGCCACAGTCAGCATCTCTTTGAGCTCAAGCGGTCATTACATTAAGGGAGCGATACATCACGCAATGAATGGGAGGACTGATACTGACCCACTGCTGCGGACACTTAATAGCCATCATCCACAGACACTGACGCCCACTATCCGCTGCAGCCGCCCTAGTGATCACACACGAGCGCACGCATCCTCCAGGAATGTCAGTCTTAACACTTCCACGCTCCGCGGCACAACGGAAGTGTATCATCACTCCCAAATACTTGGGAACCGCTAACTAAACACAGAATTACATAAGCAGAGCTCTGTCTGTACAAGTCTGCGGCCGTTCAGCTCCCCGGCCCTCAGTGAACATCACAGAACATGCAGCAGCTCGCCTGAGTGCAAAGACATGGGAAACGGAGAAGTGTGTGTGTGTGTGTGTGTGTGTGTGTGTGTGGGCATGAGTGAGTGGATTAATAAAAGCTCTCTGATCGAGGGACACATCTGCAGGGCACGGGACACACAGCAGAAACACTCACTGATCTCATTACAAAACACACACACACACACAGACTCTTACAGCTCTATAGGAAACTTTTATATAAAAATGATGATTGCAGCATCATGCTGTTTTCCTCTATAAAGCCACTGGCATGATACAATTCTTAAAATTTAGTGACCCAATTTTTATTTTTATTTTTTTCTGTTTGGCATTATTGGACAGATACAGCAGAGAGAACGGGAAATTACACTGGTCACAGAACAGAGTTAAACATTAATCAGAACTGTGGTGCAGCACAAGGATGACTTGAGACAATTTTACAGTCAGCACACAATTCTTAAAATTTAGTGACCCAATTTTTATTTTTATTTTTTTTCTGTTTGGCATTATTGGACAGATACAGCAGAGAGAACGGGAAATTACACTGGTCACAGAACAGAGTTAAACATTAATCAGAACTGTGGTGCAGCACAAGGATGACTTGAGACAATTTTACAGTCAGCATGAAAAGAAAATTCAACCCATCTATTTTTCTAAATGCATCATATATCTTATTGCGAGCAATTCATCCATGCATACATTTATTTCGTTTTAATTATTTACTTATTTTTAATTCAAAATGTCATAACTGGATCTTCTGGAGAAATGATTCTCAGAAGTCTGCTTAAACCCCACCCTCTTAACGTTCAAATCTGCTTCCATCCAATCAGCAACCAGTGCACTGAACCAAGTCCCTCCCACATTTTTTTCTTTTTCAATAATCTGTTTCACTCTCACAATATACGTCACAATACAGAAGAAAAGACCTGTCACTGCTTCCATTACACTGTAACTATAACCACACAGGCTATTCACCATTTAGAATAATGCTGGTAGGATGAAAAAAAAAATTTCGTCTAGAAAGTGATTGTCTAAAAAGATAGTTTTGTAAAGGGGAAAACACGTAAAAAGGCTCAAATGAATTTGAATATCTTTAAAAGATTGATTATGTTCCCACTGATCTTCACTGTTCTGTAAAATAAAAGTAAACTTGATTTTATATATACACATTATATTTATAACATTGTGTGTGTGTGTATATATATATATATATTAAATTTAAATGTTTAATACTTATGATAGCAGTCACCATTAACCCCTTAAGTACAAACAATATAGGTTCAGTAATTTCACTTTACTGGAAAAGAAAAGGTTATTAGTCAGTTATTGAATGTCTTATTTTCAAAAATGTCCAATGTTATTTTCATAGGAGCCTGATAAAAATGCTAATTTAAAAGAAAAAGGACTTAGAGGTTTTTACATCTGAAGTCTTCATGTTTCTTTCTTTCTTTGGATTCTCTGCTGGACAATATTCTTTAGATATATGCATTTCCAAATTTATTCCCAATTTTTCTTCCCCAAAATAAATAAATACATTTTATATGTGCACACATACATGTACAGTGACATCCAGGAGGACTGAAGACACATTCTCACATACTCCACTAAACCCAAATGATGAAATACTGGGGGAGTGAGAGGGAAAGCCTGAGTCAGCAGACGCTGTGAAACTGCAGCTCAGTGTGAGAATGTTCACTGAGGAGACGCACACCGAGAGAGACACCAATCACAGGCCTCAGAGTTCTCCTCAAACCTGCTCTCTGCATCTCCACTCCACTCCACCACAGCAAACACAAACACTACATGAAGGGCTGCTCTGCCGCCAGTGAACCGCACTCTCCTCATGCATCGAGTGTGTGTGTGTGTGTGTGTGTGTGTGTGTATAATCTCATCAGAATGACCAAGAGTGTTCGTTTGCGCAGCACAGGAGACCTTGGGATTGTGGGAAAGTTCTCGTACGGTGAAACGTGTCGCAGAGACGTACCAGTATCATCACACACGAACACAGAGTTCAGGCTGACAGGTCACGACAGCCTTACTGCCTTCCTGAAACTCCAGACGTGTTTAAACACATACAGCAGCTCAGTGAAAGTGTCTCTGTTAGTTTAGCGTGTCTGCGTGAGTGACAGAAAGAGAAAGTAAGGGAAAAATACAAAGAGAGATTGCTCACTTCCTCTAGTTAGTAAGATATTCCACACACAGTATTGAAGGAAACGGCAAGCACTCTCACACATTAATGTGATGCAAGTGTGTGTGTGTGTGTGTGTGTGTGTGTGTGCGTGCATGCGTGCGTTCTTTTGCAATCGTTGTTGCAGTAAATGCCAAAGGCGACAGTTCAAAAATGGGGAAAAGTGCTCTGAGTTTGTTTTTTTTCCCCTCAAAGTTTGCATGGCTGTAACTCAAGAAGTATTAAGGATCTCATAGTATCCTTTTAGATTTTGGTTTTTAACAAACTTTTCTTTTGGTTTCCTTATTTTAAAGGCCATATATGGTTCAATTCCACTGATATTAAAATCTCAATATGGCTCCAAGAGTAAATTGTTAAATTGGACACATTTTCAGTGGTCAAAAACCCAATGTGGGTCACTGACAGTGACACGTACACTAACAGAACTAACAATACTGTGAACAAAACTAGCATTTATTCATATTAGTCAACATTAGCTAATGCATTTACTAATGTTAACAAACGAGACCTTTTTGTAGTGTTACCCAGAGTTGTACTGTATACGGACTATTTTTGTAGTCATTTTAGGGTTTACAACAACATGTGAGTGAATAAACGGCAGGATTTTCATTCATGGTAAACTAAAGCTGTTAATAGTTCTGCAGTGTCTCAGTCTGACCTTGAGAAACACTGTTTATGCTGCATCTACATGGTCTGTTTGTTGAGTAATTTGGTTGGCTCTTCTAGGCTAACAGCACCAGACTGCAGTGAATCAATGACAGATCGCCTCTCTATTGTTGGAGCCACGACAGAGAGAGAGGAACACAGCCACTTCCTCTTCAAACCCTATTGCAGCGTATACAAATGGCTGACAGCATCCGTGTGCATGCGTTCATGCGGTTGTGCCCTTGTACATGGACACGAGACCACAGCGCCTGACATATGCAGATTGTTTATGGAGGTTGCACTGTATTTACCGGACTCTAGACAGCTCACATATGGCTGCCGTCTTCATTCAGACAGGCAAGATGATTTCCTCGAGCACCACTCCGCTCACGCTGGGCTAATTGCTGCCACAGACCCATGAATTTTGACTAAACAGAAGCACCGAGCAGATGTTTCGCAACACATAAAGGAAGCCATCACAATCTACAGCATCTAATTAATTGTTGTTTTTCAGTTTACAGCACTCAACAGAAATACAGAGGAAATTAGACACCACATTTCCAAGTACTAAGAAAAAACCAATCGCATCTAATGGAAGCCATGTTTAACAGCAAGAGAGTGACTTACTAAGCATAAATTGAGCGAGATCCCATGGGCCTAGTGCACACATTTAAATAGGCCCAGATGCATTATCATGCTTGATTATATTTTCCCAGAAGCCACTTCAGAGTTCACAATCATCAAGCTGCACAACACAAAAAATGATGCATTAAATTACTGGAGGAAAACACCGTCATCTTACCAGCCATCATCTTCTGCGCTTCGTAGGGCTCCATGTAGCCGTCGTTCTCCGTTGGCTTTTCTGTGACCGTCTGGGTGCCACCCACCTGGTCCGCTGCGTCAAAGGGGTCGGCATAGTCCTCTAGGATGATGAGCTGCAAAATTAAAGAGAAAAAGCATCATTTAAATTAGGGCTGTCAAATTAATTACGTCATTGGCTGCTTCCAAAAATCAAATTGCATGTATATCAGTAAAAATATATCAACATCAAGGCCTATACCCTTTTAAAGGTTTTTATAAATCGAACAGAGAAGTGCAATCAAGTCTGGGTTACCCTGTGAGAAGAGAATCAGAAGATGAGACTAATTTCATTCTCTCACTTTCATTAATTTATTTCTACCCCACTGTTCCTCTCTCTGCAGGGACAGGACTCAAAGGATGCTTGTAGAAGGAGGCTGTGGTGAAAGGCACAGAAGGTAGCCAAACTCTCTCTTCAGTCACACGTACAGTAATTATAAATTCACACACAAATACTCTCAAAGATTAGTCTTGTTAGCCCAGCTTTTATATATTGACCAAGTCTGGTCCATTCTCCATCTTACTTTGGCCAAGAACCTCTCACTTAGACTGTAATACTTTTTCTTTATTATTATTAATTTGTATGTATTATTAAGATGTGGGTTTATCTGAAAAGGCAAAACAGATCAAAAGGGAGTAAATTCAAATCATTACACGGACATTTCAGTCCAAGACCGCCTGTACAGAAAACACTGTTAAAAATAAAAATGTAGTATACATTTTTTGTAATTTACTATTTATTTCCTTTCTAAAAGTAATAAATATGCATTATTTCACAAATATAACAGAGAAACAAAGACAAATTATACAGTTCTACTCATTAACTCAAGAGGTAATGAATGAATCTCTGAGATTCTGTTAATGTTCTAGTCACAACTTTGATTAATGTTTATTGGATGATATTTCGGATAAGTTAGAACCTACCATACCACATGGTCTGCTTTGCTTAAGGCGACCAAATAATATCTGAAGGACAAAATCTTTTCCGGCAGTATTGTGAATTTGTAGTCTTCTCTCGCAATTTTAAACTGTGGTGTCCCACAAGGCTCTGTTCTAGGTCTGATTTTATTTTCACTGCATGTGTGTCCTTTGGGCTCAGTTTTCCTTAAACACAGCTTTTCTTTTTATCATCTCTATGCTAATGACTCACAGTTGTCAAACCACTCACACCAGGTGAACATATAATCATCTATCTTCCAAAATCCATTCACGTTGGCCTATTATCATGGTATAATCCATTTCATATTCATGTGCAATATGTATGAGACAGTCAGCGAGGGGACTATGGGTGGTTTGTGGGTGTGCCGTCTGAGACTGAGTCTACTCTAAGACACACAAAACGAATCAACAGAAGAAGTATAAACTGTTCCTCTCTGCTCACACAACATTGCACAAATACAGGCTTTGGCAGGCAGACACGTTTAATTGCAGCCCTGTTCTTCTCCTTATTCTAAAGGGTATTTCACACGCATTATGGTAATTAGATGCACATGACCAACACTCTGAGATTCATTCATTACCCCTAGACTGTTTGTCAAATTGGAATTTGGTCTCCTGACACCACAAAGCTGTAATCAACGACTCGGTGCTTCAAAATACACAATTTCAAGGAAGGATGTGACAAAACAATAAGCCTCTGTACAAGGAAATGTTGTACTGGAATACCAGTCATCCAACGGAGCGTGAACTACCAGCAATACAAAGATCTATGCATGTGTGAAGCCAACCATGCAATCATACAATGCATTCTGCAATGTTAATACTCATGTTCAGGAAACTGTGATATCCTTTCACAATGTGGTTCATTATTAATAAAGTATGAATTAATAATTCAATTTAGTATAATGGCAACATGATCTGCGGTTTGAAATGAAACATGCTGGTGATTTTGCCCTCAGTAAGAGAGAAAGAGTTCAGTGAGATGGTGCCATCTGCTGTGCTGGTCTCTGGCAGAGGTTTGGACTTTGAATTTGGACAACTCTCGGCATTCCTCTGGGGCAGAACTGCCACCATATGAGATAGTTTGGAGCAAAACAAGTGCAGCAGAAGCTGGGTCACACAATCGATTCACTCTACACACAAACTTAAACAAACACCATTCATCTCACATATTTTACATTCTTTGTAGAAGGTCAGTGTGTGTTTTGGAAATGAATATTTGTAATTGTTCTCTATGGTTTGTGGTCAAAGAAAGACAAGAGCATTACCATAATTGGAGAACTACAAATAGACCTTAGCCACACATAAAAGGAAACCTCAATGTTCCATTCACAACTTTTTGATTCATGTATACTGGATGATATTTCTGATAAGTTAGACCCTACCATAGCACAGGGTCTGCTTTGCTTAAAGTGACTAAGCCCCCTTTTCCATCAGTTTTATGAATCTGTCTTCCTCTCCGGCAATTTTAAACTGTGGAGTCCCACATGGCTCCGTTCTAGGTCCTATTTTATTCCCACTGCATATGTGTCCTTAGGGCTCAGTTTTCCACAAACACAACCTTTTTTATTTTTATCAACTCTATGCTAATGACTTACAGTTGTCAAACCACTCACACCAAGTGAACGTCATCGACCATCCACACTTACTGCCTGGAAGAAGTTAAGCCTTGGTTGGTAAGAAACCTACTTTATGACGATAAGAGGGAATGCATTATATCTGGACCTTTTAACACAACCAATAAAATGTCCAATTGATCAACTTCCATTTTGATTAATGTATCTCACCACAGTAAAATATACTTGCTTTTTCTTCTTCTCTTTTACAATTGTAACACTCTTTATACGGTAATCTCTCAGCACCATCTGTCCTTCCTGCAGCTCTCCAGAATGCAGCTGCCAATCTTCTGACAGACAACAAGAATGAGGATCATATTACACCAGTCTTGGCTTTCCTCCACTAGCAATCCAGTACACAATTGATTTTAAAGTGCTACTGTTTGTTTTTAAGCCTTTGCATGGCTTACCACTATACAATGCTGATTTTCTCCAGGCTTTTGAGATATTCATTTACAATTACATTTATCCATTTGGCAAACCCTTTTATAACCCTTTTTTAAACCCTTTTACAGACAGGTAGTCCCACCCTATGCCACTGGTGGACACAATGATGCATTCACTCAAATCAGGCCGGTCAAGCAAACAAAACTCCACAGAATCAGTGTTTAAAATGATTTTTCCAAAAATCAACTTACAAATGGTTTACTTGTTGCAGTTTCTTTACATAAAAGTGGAGAAGAACAAGTATTTTAACATCAAAACATCTACAATCTTCGCGGAAAAGAAAAACATCTACATAATCTAAGATCCAAAATTAGTATTTTAAATCTAAGTTTGCTGGAAACCCTGCATTTTTCTAAGTTTAAGGTATGAGGGGGCTGTAGCTAAGCAGGAACAGCGAGGCCATCATCATCTCTATGTAATTACAGGCTATTCCTCTGTGTGCTGTGGGATTGAGACAGGGGATGAGACCCAGCATGAACATAAACTCCAGTTTACTTTCCTACCACAGATAAAGTTCCTGCAAAAACATCACCGTTAATCACAAACTTTAATGGCACAGTGATAGATGTTAGAAACAACAGCTCTACAATTCATTTCAGAGTCAGAGCTCTTTGCTTTCTGAAACTGCCATGTTCACTCCCCTCATCCTTTCCAGTGTTTACAGAGGGACGAAAGCGAACCCAAACCACACTGTTTGACTGCAGCTAAAACCAGAAACCAGCGTCAGAGAGAGCCGAACACATCAGCGCTTTATGGGATCGGACCAAAGGACATACTATGCAAAGTACATACTATTCTTACCACTTCTGCAGTATGCAGTGTGCACACTGTGCACAGCATGTCGATTTTCAGTATGCATGGATTACCTACAACAATTTTGAAAGTATACAACAAAACACACTGGACAGAACAGTTAAAATGCAAAATGTCCCAAAATGCAATGCTCTCTACTTGACCATGTAGTAAGTCAATGTGACGAATGAAACAGAAGTTAAGCATGATTTTTAACATCTCTTTCAGCATGTGATCTGACTGCCAAATGTAGAGATTTTTTAAATGGAATTTAATTAAAACGCTAAATAATGTGTTTATTTCTGAGAATATACCTAGATGTCACTCACAGTGAGCTGACGTGATAATACAGTAACTATTTTCTTAAAAACTATTACTTGAAATAAAATAAACTTAACTAAGATTGTATTATGTAATTATATATATATATTTTTTTTTATTTATTTTTTTTTATTTTTATTTTTTTTTTATGATGTAATCTTGTTTCTTATTTCAATATTTTTTTATTTCTGATTAGTTTAATTTGGAACTCAAAAATAACTTAAGTTAAATAATAAAGCTTAATTAAGACTATATAGACATAATATATACAGACATAAAAAACTTAAAACTAACAACAAAAAAAAAAGTAAAATTACTAAAACCTTAACTGCTATTAAAATGAAAACAGAAACTATAAAACAAAATCTAATTCAAAATATTCATAAAAACTGCAATAGTGCATCAATGATACTAAAATAACTGTTTGCATACTATTTATAGAAAAACAGTAGGCAGTATGAAGAATACAACGCACAGTACTGTATGTATGTACTGTAAGTATGTAGCATGCTTGCATTTCATTTTGAATATGTTGGCTTGATTAGCATCTGACAGATGGACGGCAGATGTCCTTTTGAGTGAATAACGCCATCAAGGTATTTCTCAAATATTACCTGGCTCAAATACCACATTCTATATTGCCCTGCGCTTGGAGACGCTACTAGCTGATTTTATGCTGGAAATGTGGACTTACCATAAAGCAAGGACAAACAACCGTCAAACAGAGGACGCGAAGGAGCAGATATATGTATAGCCATCTTTCAATCTCACATGAGAAGCCAGTCAAAAAGCTTTTTCACTGTTGTTAATGCTGTGGTTTCAGTGGAGCTGTTTTCACTCTGAAACACGTCAAGGTCAGCCTTCAACTCCCTGAGTCCACAGAGCTCAAAACACCATTATCTGAGTCTGACACGGAGGCATCCAAAGCATTAATACGCTCTCAAAGAGTGAGATTCGCCCTC